AAAAAAAAAATTAAATAAAAATAAATAAATAAATAAAACATAAGGAAACATTACAATCTGATACCACAGAAATACAAACGATCATTAGAGACTGCTATGAATAACAATATACCAAAAACTTGACAACCTGGAAGAAATGCATACATTCTCTTTTTTTAAGATTTTTATTTATTTATTTATTTGATAAAGAAAGAGAGTGGGTGGTGGGAGGGGCACAGGAAGAGAGAAAGAGAGAGAGGGGAGAATCTCAAGCACACTTCACACTGAGTGCAGAGCTCAATATGGGATTCCATCTCACAATGCTGAGATTATGACTTGAGCTGAAATTGAGTCAGATGCTTAATCGGCTGGACCACCCATGCATCCCAGAGATGGATATAGGATTCATCCCTGGGATGCAAGGATGGTTCAACATATGCAAATCAACAACTGTGATGCATCCCATTATTAGGAAGAAAAATAAAATTCCATGATCATCTCAATTGTTACAAAAGTATTTGACAAAATTCAACAGCCATTCACAATAAAAATTCCTAATAAATTGAGTATAAAAGGAAAGTACTTCAACATAATAAAAGCTGTATATTACAAGCCCACAGCTGACATCATACTCAATGGTAAAAGGTTAAAGATTTTCCTCTCAGATCAAGAATAAGACAAGGTGCCTAGTCTCACCATTCCAATATAATAGTATTAGAAGACCTAGCCCAAGCAAACAGGCAAGAGAAAGAAAAGGCATTTGCATCAAAAACAAATAAGTAAAACCATCTCTGTCTGCAGATGATGTGTTTCTAAATATAGAAAACCAAACAGACTCCATCAAAAAAACTGTCAGACCTAATAAATGAATCTAGTAACCTTGACAGACATAAAATCAACATACAAATATCAATTGCATTTCAATACAATAATGACACATCACCTTAAAACAAATAAAGAAAACAATCCCACTTATAATAACATCAAAAATAATAATATACTTAGGAATAAATTTAAACAATAAGGTAAACGATCTGTACACTGCAAACATATATTGATAAGGAAACTGAAGACTCACAAATAAATAGAAAGATATCCCATGTTCATGAATTTAAAGCATCAACATTGTTAAAATGTCCATACAACCCAAAGCAATGTATGGATCCAATACAATCTCTATCAAGATTCCACCAGCATTTTTTACAGAAATATAAAAAAAATAATAATAAAAATTTTATGGAACCACAGAAGATACTGAATAGCCAATGTACTTCTGAAAAAGAGGAAAACTGGAGGCAATACACTTCTAATTTCAATGTATATTACAAAGTATAGTAATCAAAACCGATATGGTACTGACATGAAAACAGACACGGATCTATGGAACAGAACTGAAAGCCCAGGAAATAAACTTATGCATATAAAGTCAAAGGAGCCAAGAATACTCAGTGGAGAACAGGTAGTCTCTACAACAAACTGTACTGGGAAAAGCAAATAGTCTATATGCAAAGAATGAAATGGGACTCCTATCTCACACCACTCACAAAAATTAATTTGAATTGGATTAAAGATTTTAATGTAAGACATAAACCATAAAATTCCTAGAAGAAAACATTCAAGAAAAGTCCCTGACAGTAAACACGCCAATGACTTTATGAATAAGACACCCAAAGCACAAACAATGAAAACAAAATAAAACAAAAAATATGTGAACTACATCAAACTAGAAAAGTTCTTCACGGTAAAGGAAATAATTGTGTGTGTGTGTGTGTGTGTGTGTGTCCAGACACAATGGAACAGCATTTAGCCATGAAAATGAAGGAAATTCTGCCATTTGCAACAAAGTGGATGAACCTTGAGGGCATTGTGCTAAGTGAAACAAGTCAGACAGAGAATTAAATACTCATGAACTCACTAACATACAGAATAGACTAAAACCACTCACAGGAACAGAAAACTGATTAGTGATTGCTGGGGTAGCAGGTGGGGCCTGAGGCAAATGGATAAAAGTAGACAAAGGGTATAAACTTGTAGTTATAAAAAGAATAAGCACATAGATATAATGCAGAGTGTGAGTTACGGGAGATAGAATGTGAGTATAGTTGATAATTAATGTAGTGTATATTTGAAAACTGCTTAAAGAATAGATTTTAAAAGTACTCACCACAGAAGAATAAGATAAAATAAACTGTAAGTATATGAGATGATGTGTTAACTTTGTTGTAATCATTCATATATAGTTGTACATATATACACACATGTGTGTATATACAGGATACACACATACACATACAAAATCCTTATGTTCTTAAACTTATATACTGTTATATGCCCATTTATTTCAATAAAGCTGGAAAGAAAGCAAAAATTGGGAAAAGGACTTGAATATATTTTTCTCTAAAAAATATATACAAATGGCCAATAAGCACATGAGATGTTCAACATCATTAGTCATTAGAAAAATGCATATCGAGCCCACTATGCCTCATTTCTATTGTATATCATCTCTCTTCTCTTATGGGTTAAACTTTACTTTCAAGGTCTTGTAAGGATTATTAAATGCCTATTAATAGCCCCTATTAAACACACTAGGTACAAAGGCCTCATAACTCTTACAAATGCTAATAGTGAGTCCTTGAAGGGCTAAAGAAAGGTTCTAACTGTGATACTTTGTCTCAGCGGCTACAGACTTCCAAAATTCTTTTGAAGAGGGAGGAAAGTATTAAAGAAGATAAAAGACAGTGCAAATGGGGTTGAACACGTTTTCTCCTGTAAAGCTTCACACATCTCAACTGTGTCTAAAAATTCAATTCTAGATGGCCAAAACAACAACAACAAACCAGAAAATTGGAGAAATGGGTGAGTACAATCAAACATCAGCAGTAGATGAACGAAGGACAGAGTAAAGAGGAAAGGAAAACAGCAAGCGGTATCATCTGAGATGGAAAGAGGATGGAGTCCTATTGCCAGGGGCAGGGGGACCCAATACGAACATATGGATCGTTACTCCACAGTGTTTATTCATAAACAGGCCCTTTATAGATATATATGTAGGTACAAAATCAGTTCTTTGTTTTCTAGAATACATTGGGTCTCCACTCTGTGTTATCAGGAAAAGCACGGAAGCTGTTACAATGGTCCCTCTGGTCTGTAATATTAACTCATGTTATTAGAATTAGATGCTTTCCCAGCTAAGTATCAGGATAGGCAATTCTTTATACCAAATTCTATTCTCTAATAAATTACCTCAGCAAGGTTTAGTTATTGGAAAGTGCTAACTTTTCATTAAGTATGTGAATCAGTAGAATTTTATTTTGGGGCCTATCAGAACTAAGTCAAAGCAGAGAACATGAAACATCTTCAGATCTGTAACATTTACTTTTGAAAAATTCTGCAGGTAATTCATTTTTGTTTTCAATTCATTTTCTTTAAAGAACTGTATATACTTACCTGAAAATGTAAAGAACAATTCATTTTGCAAACCAGCTCTTTGCATTTTAACACGATGGCATTCCGACTTCAGTAAAGAAACTTCACATGAAAGGTCAAGAACCAATTTGCTCAAAATCTGAAGAAGTTTCTTCTCAAAAGAAATATTATAGATACTATTGCAGGGAGCTGCATGATATCGAGCTGTGAACTGGTAATAATAATGAGGCTCACGATAAGCTGTAAAAAATTAAAGAACAACACAAAAGTGGCTATTTAAACAATTAAAATATACTGCAACTACTAAAATGAAATTGTTACTTGAAATAAGTTCATAGTATTTTTATATCCATCCTGAGGAAACTGAGGGATACAGGGATTATGTCACATGCCCCATGCCTATGGTATCAAAACTAAGATTCTGGGTGCCTGAGTGGCTGAAGGGTGAAGCGTCCAACCCTTGATTTTGGCTCAGGTCATGATCTCAGGGTTGAGGTTGAGCTCCATATCAAGCTCTGCACTCAGCAGGGAATCTGCTTGAGATTCTCTCCCTCTCCTTCTGCCCTTCCCCCCTACTTGCTTATGTTCGTTCTCTCTCTCTCTCTCTTCCCCTCTCTCTCTCAAAATAAATAAATAAATAAATCTTTAAAAAAAAAATCAAAACCAAGATTCTAACCAAAAAGCCTGCCTCATTCATAATCTGTTCTTAACCAATATTTTTCCTCAAACAGGAATGAAATTTCTCAAAGTTTAACTATTCATCTTAAAATAAACAACGGTCCTGTAATTACCAACTATAGGCAAAAACTGGTATGTTTCTTATAAATCTACCAGTTTTACTGAGTTCCATTACAATATCTGAAACTGAGAATATTTCTTCCCTAACCATTTTAAAATCCCACTGAAATGAGAGGAAAAATATAAAAATCATGGGAAATTCATAATAATTATATACATATTATATAACCACATTCTTGACATAATGACATCAAAATAAAAATCAACAATGAAAAATCTATCAAACATTTTAAAATAAAGTACTACTAAACAACAAATGGCATATCCAATGAAGTAATGATGATTAAAAATATTATTAAAACAATTAGAGTAGCATGACATGACAGTTGGAGAAACGGTACAAGCTCATTTCCCAATGAAAGCAATGTCAATTATTTTTAGAAAACAACCATTTATAATGTCTGAAAATGGTCCTAACATAAGCAGAAAGAGGTAGGGGATCCCGGAAAAAGAAAGTCATAGCTCTCTGGGCATAAGAAAAGTAATTTCAGGCCCTGGCCGTCTTAGGCAAGCCTACAGGAATGAACAGCCTGTGCCAGACCAGGAGACAGCCAAATCATACCAGAAACAATAAATTAGTGATAAAATCCCCAGTGCTAGTTAGTTATGACAACTATCTCAATTAATCATTACTGGATTGTACTCTATCACCAACTTTTAAGAACCTGTGCTAAAACTTCAAAGCCACAAAAAAGCTGAGAGATCTGGTCCAAGCCACTCTCTTTGTTAACTTGCACACTGTGGCTCAGGGAATGCAAAGTGTTATTTAAACACATTCTCCTGGGTGAGAGTGTGGGAAATGAGGCACCACCCAGGAGGTGAAATAACATCTGGCAGCAACACAACCCTCAACGACTCCACGGGCTGGTGGCTGAGGCCCGGGCTGGGGAAGAAGAAGTGTGTATAGAAACTAGGGAAGGCTAAATATTTTCTTGCAGTAACCAGAGCCAGCAAATGTTCAATTATCAACCTTTACTTTTCTGATAATAGAAATAATCTTTGTGGAAAGAGAAACAAAAAATTTGTAAGCAAACAACAAACCACACAAACTTCCAGTACTGATTCCAAAGTGAGGTCTGACCTGAAGCACACTCTTGCGTTAACTTCACCGGATCTAAACCCCTCTGAGCACTCAGAGGCTGGACCCACCCAAGCCAGAGAACTGATTATGCCTGCCCCTGCCTGCCCTCGGGATACTGACCTGGACTCTGCCATCTTAAGATGACTTTTTGCCCAACTCCAACCTGTATTCCCTCTTGAGCAAGCCCCTTCATAAATATGGACGCACCCTCAGCGTAAAGCTTCCCCAATTTTCTTGTTCCAGGAGACACCAGTGTGGGTAAGAGCCCTGAGGTTCTCTTTGCTCACTGCAAGTAAAACCTCTCCTTTTCTTGTCTGAGAACAACACTGGAAAAGTCAGTGGGGAGGAGCTACTATGGGGTCAGAAAAAATCTCAAACACAGACCTGGGGAATACGCTTTCAAAGGAACCCAAATTTAACCAGATCAATGTTCAGACGGATTTACGTCCAGGGCATTTTCAAAAACAAAAGATCCATCAAACTGCTGTGGGTACACCCAAGCTTCACCTTCTTAAAACAAACCAGGGGCGGGGGGTAGGGAGGGTGTCTTCATATTATGGTGGGTGAGGAGTGAACTTCACAGAAACGATGTAGGTACTTGCTAAGCAAATAAACATGAAATAATTATCACAAGGCTGGGGAGAGCAGGGGTGTGGGTTACTACCCAGGGTTCATACACTATCTAAAAAGTCCAGTTTCTAGAAAAGGAACAGGAAAGTATGACTCACGTACTGGAAAAAACTAGGGAACAGTAACCACTTGTGAGAATGATCAGATGTGGGATTTAAGAGATAAAGATTTCAAACCATTCATCATAAATATGCTAAAACCGGCACCTGGGTGGCTCAGTCAGTTGAGCATCTGACTCAGTTTTGGCTCAGGTTGTGATCTCAGGGTCATGAGATTGAGCCTCATGTTTGGTTCCACACTGAGCATGGAGCCTGTTTGGGAATCTTTCTCTCCCCCTCTGCCCCTTCCCCTGGCTTGTGCACATAAAAAAGAAAGAAAATGTTAAAATAACTCAAGAAGATTATTATTAAAGATGGAAGACATAATGACAATCTCACATTAAATAAAGAATATCTATAAAGTTAGAATTATAAAAAATGAACCAAGTACACACACTGCAGTTGAAAAATGAAAACACGCAAAGGAGAAATGGACCAAGGAGCTCAGCAGATATGATCTGGGTAAAAAATGAATCAGCTAAAAGAAGTTCTTCAGACTGAAAGACCATGACCTCAGTCAATAATATGAATCCACACCCAAAAACAAAGTGTTCTAGTAAAGGTAATTATATAATTACGAAAACAGTATAAGTGCATATTTCTTCTACTTTTTTCCTCTTTATGGATTTAAAAAGCAGTTGTATAGAAGAATTTGTATACAATGTACCAAAGGTCCCCTGTATAGGGCTACAGAAATGACTACAGATGGTTAATTTGATACGTGGGAGCAAATGAAGAAAATAAAACATGATCAACAAGAAGACTGATTAAACAAAACCTATAAACACACACTTTCTCTCCTTTCTAGTTCTGGCTTCTTAGAAACACATAAAACTATATAAAATAACTATGTATGGTTACTTGTGCAACAATTACAAATATAACATGTATAATATTAATACCACAAAAAGCAGGAAAAGGGAATATATATGTGTGTGTGTGTGTGTGTGTGTGTGTGTGTGTATATATATACATATACATACATACATATATATATGAGTGACATTTCTATATCTCACTGGAATTAAGTTAGTATAAATGTCAAGGTGACAATGGTAGGCTAAGATACATGTCGTAGTCTCAGAACAATCAATAAGGAAGTAACTCAAAAATATACAGTGAAAAATCATTAAAGAAATTAAAATGCGGGGCACCTGAGTGGCTCAGTGGGTTAGGCCTCTGCCTTCAGCTCAGGTCATGATCTCAGGGTCCTGGGATCGAGCCCGGCATCGGGCTCTCTGCTCAGCAGGGAGGGAGCCTGCTTCCTCCTCTCTCTCTGCCTGCCTCTCTGCCTACTTGTGATCTCTGTCAAATAAATAAATAAAATCTTAAAAAAAAAAAAGAAATTAAAATGCTATATTAAAAAATATACATTTACTTCAAAAGAATTAATGAGAAACAGAGGAACATTCATGAACAAGAAACAAAACAATAGTATATATCTAATTATATAAAAATAATGTTAAATGTGAAAGAATGGTACTATCTAATTAAAAGGCAGACACTGTGAAACTGGGTTAAAAAAGCAGTATCAGTTACTTGGGTGTCTACATAAGTCACAAGTTACCTTAAAAGATACAAATAAACTGAAAGTACTAAGACGAAAAATGATACACTACGCATACACAAACACAAGAAAGCAGAAGTGGCCACACAATTATCAGGCAAGATGGACTTTAAAAGAAAAAAAAAGTTCCTAGGAAAAAAAAGGAACATTTTATTAAAATAAAAGGGACAATCTCTCAGTAAGACAGAACAATTACAAACATAGACACACCTTAGAACAAAGCACCAAAACAAAACAAAACCTGACAGAAATAAATAGACAACACTATTAGAGACGTCAATACCAAAGTGACAATAATAGAACAAATAGGTAGGAGAACAACAAAGAAATAGAAGACTTGAGTAATGTCAGGGACAAAACAGAACAGATACCTACAGAACTCTCCACCCAACAGCAGCAAAATGTTCTTCTCAAGTACTCACAGCGCATTCTCAAAGATGTTGCATATTCTAAGCTACCAATCTCAATAAACTTAAAAGGACTGAAGTACAAAGTATTTTCTCTGACTACAATGAAATAAAATTAGAATAAAAAAAAAGAAATTCATGGCCAAAACTAAGAGTTGGATTCTTAAACCACTGTGCCACCCAAGCATGCCAAATTCTAGAAAACATTTAAAGAAATGTTAACAATTCTTAATTAACTCTTCCAAAATCAGAAATGAAGAAGAACTTCCCAATTCATATTATGATTACCCTGACAGCAAAACCACATAAAAAATTTAGCACAAGAAAACTTTGGACCAATCTCTTATGAATACAGATGCAAAAACTTTCAACAAAACACTAGTAAACTGAATCTTGCAGGGTACTGAAAGAATTATACATCATGACCAAATGGGATTTATCCCAAAATGCAAGGTTAGTTAAACGTTTGAGAAACCAGTGAATGTAATACACTACAAAATAAGAACAACATAATTATCTCAATGCGGAAAAAAACAAAAAACACTTGACAAAATCCAACAATCTTCCATACTTACAAACATAATCAACAAACTTGGTACAGGAAACCTCCTCAACCTAATCAAGAGAACCTACATAAAAACCACAGCTAACATCACATT